TAAACCCATGTTTTATGTGAATTTCTAACTCTAAAATCTGGTCTATACTGTATATACTTTAATTTAAATGTGATAACTTCTATTTTTTTTTTCTACTATGTTTCATACATAGCTCCTATTTTTCTTTCTTCTACCAGCAGTCAAAGTTACAAACTATCACCCTAAAAAAAAAAATGTGGTGTCACACTTGCTTTACTCAACTATGAGCGAAGCAAAATAGGAGGGTAACCGGCTATTACTGGTCTTATGACAACAAGAACCAAACTGCATGCTCTGATCACAGAGAACATGGTTATTGTCCTAAATCCTCTAACCCTATGTTCAAGTTTCCCCAAATCACAATTTGATATTTTCCCCAATCATGATTTGGGGTTTCTACCCAGCCGGGCGCCGCGGGCGTTTTAGATCGTGATTTGGACCTGAATCATGATTTGAGATGGCGAACAGCTCAAATGACAATGTGCCAAACAGGTCCTAAGCCTTGTTAGGATCCGTCTGCGTGTTTCTCGTTCAAGGTAATACGGTACGGAGCTCCATGGCCCCGATAACCACGACTGTTCAATTCCCCGAGAATAGATGCACTAACGTTCCTCCTTCTCCACTTCTATTGGACGGACAATCACTCACTCTACCCCATAGACGCGGGACGCACACAACGCACTCATCGTTCTTCGCCCTAATTATAGTATGGCTTCTTGGTCTTCCAGCTGCTCTCGAGGCGTCTACTGGTCCCCTGCCGCAAAAGAACACTGCTGGTATCGCGCTCTGCGAGTGCATGCCAAACTGCCGTACGGATAGAAAGAGGGTGAATACGGTGGCAGGACGGGATCAGCCACAGTGCAGAAATAAGGTGCACGATATGGGAAAAGCGCACTCAGGTGGAAGGGCTTGGGCTTACGACTGTGATGTTGGGTGAAAACATGTTTCCCTCTTTAACCTGCATTGCAGGTATCATAGTGGCGTGCATCCTACTCAAAACGCACGCGTCCCGGTAGGTGGGTGTGATGGATGTGATATATGAGTGCGAGGAGGGCATATTGTCCCTGTGCTTCTTGCCCCGGAAACAAAAGAAAAAAACACCCAGGGTTGATACAGTGGGATTGGATCGCGAGTGATTGATTGTGAAGCAGTGGGTGGGCTTCCAGGGGCATTTGCAATCCGGTAGGTTAGCTCGCTAGGAGAAAGTGTTTCTATCCGGACGGTAGCTGGGAGTAGGAAAAGAAAATAAATTAGGGATGGTAGGTCATTAGGTACAGAATGGCAGCGAATATCCTCTGTTATACCGTGCCCACCCCTAATCCCGAGGTCACGGGTACCTATATTGTCGGCCGAGCTGGAACCGAGGAGCTGCACAAACCTATGAGAGTGTCCGGCCGGTAGACTAACTTACTTACCGCAAGGGGGCAGGACAAACATAGGCGGTATCATCAGAGATCTAATTCACCAAGCATCCGTCCAACCCCACCCAGCTACACCTGACCTCGCATGGAGCCCCTGTTGGCGGCGAGAGTGCTCGGAATTGACTATCGGGATTTCATTTCCCGAATCGGGGCAGACCTGCTTTTCCAGTTTGTCAAATACGGCTTGCCGGTGGCTGTTCCGCTTCTTGTCCGTGAAGCCTTTCGGAAGGGAGAATTGGGGGCCTTGGTGGTGTTTATATTTTGATGGGATTCGGGAAGGGTTGGATGGTGTTTCGTTTGCAGTGGGAGATAGTACTGTGGTTGTGAGAAAACAAGGGGAGGAGGGAACTCAGGAGGAATGCTGGATGGCTTGCTATCAATATAGTTGGGTTATCGTTTGGTTCATATCGGCTACGAGTGGTTCAAGGCTCAAATGGGAGAGAAAGCTTTAAGTAATGGTGGTAGAAATAGAGGGGTATTGAAAGATTATAAGCACGCTGGGGCATGATTTTGGTAGAGGTGGCTGGTGGCGAGACCTGCATAGGCTGCACTGGGGAGGTGCACCTACAAAAGCTGCCACTGGGTGGACCTGGTCGGAGGGTGGCTAACACAGCTTCTGCGCCTGCACGACGGGAGTAAGAGGATGAGAGTACGAGTGGTGGATGATGCAGGAAAGTAATCATCAAGATGAATGATCGAATCTGCACGACTAAAGAGCACTACTATTATTCCCACCAGATTGCATTTATTAGAACCCCGAAGTCTTACTTCTACCCATCCCGTCAAAAGGAAAAAGAAAAAAAGAAACCAAGATATAATGATGTTAATCAATCAAACCCCCTCAAAGCCCCACCATCCCCAACTCCCAATCCCCATCCCCGGACAACCCCATCCTCACCCCTCTCTTGAGCAACCCTTTCCTCCCCCCCACCTCACTCGAAACCCCACAAACAGCGTGAAACACCCCCTCCTCCCAACCCTTCTTGATCAGCAGTACTTTAACCTCAACCTCACTGCCGACAGCCAGCACTCCATCTCCATTAGCATTGACATAGCACTCACCATCTTGACCAATCTTCAATCCGCTGCTGTATAGACTATTAGTGGGGATGTAAAGATTGACTTCAGCGGTAGAGGTGGAGGTGGAAGCGTGGAAGCAAGTCCCCTGAACCCCGTGCGGGAACACCCCACTGATACTCATGGTTGCCGTATCGCCGGTCGAGATTAGAGGCGTGTATGGGGAGGTAGAAGCTGTGTTGCTAAGGGGGGTGAGGAGGGTTTCGAACGGGTTTGTTGGTGGTGGATGCATTTTATTGTGTTGCCTTTCTTTGGCTTTTTTCTTCTTCCTTTCCTTTTGGAGGGGAGAGAGGTGTTGGAATGTTTGGTAGTGTTTGTATTGCTATATCTTCCTTCTGTCAGTAAATTCTCTCGCGGTAGCGTTTGGTAAAAGTAGGGAGGAATGTGCTGGGATATACACTAATTTGTCCTGCTATTTTACCCCCGTCCTGAGTTGATTCCAAACTCCCTATTGGATGCTGTTCTTGATATTCGCTGTGGGTCTGAGAATGGATTGTCAGTCTCATTTTGAACATCGGTATTTCCTTTGTTCTATTTGGTGCTTTGTGGGACCTACCGTGCGGCACTGTGCGGTGCCTGGGCGTTTGTACTTTGGATACGGGCGCGTGCAGGTGCATTTCTGGCTTCATTGCCTGCTTTTTTTTTCCCTCCGAAATTCTACCGAGATAGTGATGGGATTGGAGTAAACACATATGTTGGAAATTGTGGTTGGCCGAGCGGGAATATCAATGATTGCTACGAGGGTTTTACGGAACCGGAGGAGGACAGTGAAAAAGAGAGTGAATGGAATTGAGCTTATCGGTTAAGAGGCAAGAGCAAGAAGAGAGAACTAAGAAAATAAAACAGTGTGTATTAATGAGAAGTTGATGAAAGATACTGATTGATTGTCTTGAGAGTTGTTCTGAGAGGAAGAAAAGAAACAAAAGAAGAGAAAGCAAACATGAGGCGCAGACCTACGTGCCAGGTATCAGAGGTACATGTAGAGTCGCGTATATCTGTGAATGTTCACAACGCTTGTACGTACTCGTTCCCACATATTCAACAACATAATAGGTTGGTGTTTCGAGTGATATACTGTAAAAACACCTTAGGGGAAGGGGGGACTGCATTGCCCCAAACTTAAACGAAGAGCATGTAAAACATGAGGAGTGTGACTGCTCCATGGAGTGGGGCTCTTTGTTCCATAATTCCTCCGCCTACTCCTTTACTTGACGGGCTCTTTATAGTGACTACTCATTGTATCACTGCTCCCCACTCGCGGTGAGATGTTTGACTTGTGCTGTGACCGGGGGGAGTGCTCTATGTTTTTGTGTATCACGGGGCACAGAAGGCCGAGCACCCCAAGATACGCCAGGGGGAGAGGGGGTTGATAGGTATATGACAGAATTCACCAATTCTCGCGAGGCCGGAGGTGCAGAAGGTGGCGAGGGGGGTGGCAATCCCCCACTGGATGGTATCAAGAATGGATAACTTATCTGTTTGGAAGAAAAAAGGTAGGTTGGTCAGTTGGTTCGGCTGGGTGCAGGAATGATCCCGAGAAGGGACCCTGTACCTATTCCAGCCGGAGGCCAACTTGAAAAAGGCCCTCGTGCACCTACACCAAGAAAGCCTATTTAAGTGTCGGTATGATATCTGCCATTAAATCTATGCTATCATAATCCTGAGAGGGGAATTGCCTCTGACTTGGTTGTGGACACCGACATGAGTGATTTCTTGTGATGAGGGAATACTACCTTCCCGAGGTGTCTGGGATTCTGGAAGAATGCTTGCTAGATGATCAGAGGAATAGGTTTCTCTCTCAGGTTCCTACAGGGAGTTCGAGCCTCGCTTCAATCATTGCGGCATTATATGTATTTTTTTTTCTTTTTCAGGTGTCATTGTAACTGCTCACACGTAACTCTTTCGAGAAAATCCGGCATGCTCACAAGGCGACAGACGGCGGAAGGAAGTCTTTTATCCTAAATAATCATCCTTATGAGCCGATTCAGTGATTTCCGTACTGTACTGTACTGGGGAGGCTGTACGATCCGCAGATAGCTGATATCCGAAACCATTGAATCCAATGAAACAGGCCTTCTGTTTGCCCCCTTGATTCTCATCCTAACAATATTTCCTCTTCTCCTTCTACTACCTCGCCCATCTAGACTTCGTCACTAGGGGCACGGTCCAGAATCCGACCCTGCCACCAAGTGTGATATCGTGGCAGGCCTGACTTGCGCTTCAGCCTTATTGAGGAAAGCCAGGGTCCTCAGCTCCCCCCAGTTCCCTACAGGGCTAGATTCAATTCCCTTCCACTACACGATGGGTTATTCAATAACAGCTCATGATACGGGGAGTTAATCTCCTAGGACCCTGCTAGGCACCCAGAGGGAGGGAGGGCAATTGGTTCTTGACACCCAAAAATCAATGCCAACTAGGTATTTCACACAGTGTTGCCGCCGGAACAGATACTTATTTTACTACTGGGTATATTTCAGATTTGAGAGGGAGGAGTCGTGTCCCTTCGCCTCCCTGGTTTGTGGCTGACGTGGGGGTTTTCCTGCTTCCCTGGCCATTTTCATGGATGGATGGATTCACCGTAACCTCAGATGGGAGATAGTGCCTCACCGCGGCCGTGGATGCCCAATATGATAGGAGGAAAAGCTACAGAATAGGACCACATTAACAGAAATACCACCGATAACAACCAATAACTAGGATGGCAGATCCAAGAACCGGGATCCCATAGCACTGGAAATCAGGCGGGTAGGTAAATACAAACCCAGAGAGCATACAGCCAGGCTACTCCCAGGAATAAATAACGGAGATGCCCAAAACCGACGTAAAGATCACGCACCCAGTAACATAATGCTAATACATCCGTGTGAAGTAATAGTATAACTCCCAATTCCCAAATGTTTTCACCACCATACCTGGCACGGCAGCGGGGATCCTCAACCCCCACCGCTGGTGGATGTGTACACGGAGAGTCCTACAAGTCATATATACGATTTACGATAAATTCCGTTCAGGGAATTGTGTCTGACTTTCAAGTCGAGCGCCACGAGTCTAGAGAGGATTATACTCTCCGGTCATATTGAGGCTTATTTTCGCAACCAGAGTATCAAGGACTTCCCTACCCCACCAACGCCCAGAACCGGGATGCTGTGTCGGAATTTCCAGTACTCCGGGGCAAATCCCGGGCCCCACGTTTCGCTGCCAAATTTGTTGGTAACTCCTTAACGCACAACCATAATACCAGTATATTCACCGCTAGCACCTGCCGCGGAAGAAAACCGGTAACTGCGTGCCAATCGCAACGCAGAAATCAGAGCCTCGAAAGGGATCTGGTCTATTATCTAAGATATTATGCCCGCATGGACGCCGTGGTATCATAAATTACAATTCCCTCCCTTAAAACCCTACCTGACACACCTTCCCCTTCCCGATTGACGGCGAATACTCCACCCACCGGGCCATCCTCCTCTGCACCAATTTCCCAGGGTTCATTACATGGCAGGATTCGTACGTAATCACAAATGGTTGCATTCTCGGATCCGCGATGACGAGCTATTGTCCTGTTAGCTGCGCCCCGCAAAGAAACAATGCAAGTTCAAGGGGAACTTGCAGTGCTAGGTAGCGGGTAAAGGCTAAGAGTATGCCAATAATCCCATAAAATCGGTCTGGTGGGGATGGAGAATGGAGATAGGAAGCCTTGGTCTATTATCGTCTTGACTAACTTCCTCACGTTCTTGGTCTCAACGTCGACCCCACCTTCCCCATCTCCTGTTGCTTCTGGCTGGGATAATGCGTCTTCCATTGGATGATCGGGTTTTTTAAAGTTGATTGCATTGCGCTGGAAACGGCTGAAAATGTCGTCGCGGCATATCACCATTTCTTGGGTGAAGTAGCCTATTCGGCAGGGGTTACTGGCCCAGACGACGGAATTTGAATTGCGGGATTGTGTAAACACACGCTTGATCCTTGTAGTGAAGATTTCGGGGATGGGTTTTCGGGGGAGAGTAGTTGAAGCGCCGCCAGAGAAGGTGGAGGCCCACGGGTCGTTATCACCGGGTACAAAGATGAAGGTGCTTGAAGAGGTCAAAGCTGGAAAGTCTTGGAGGAGGGAGGCCAACTGGTCAAAGTATTCTATTGATATTGTTAATAACTTTCATCCCAAATTGACAAAGCAATACAAACCTTTATATCCAACACTACCACCACTAGAACCCATAGCCACAGTGCAAAAGTTTCCCATGAGTACCACTACCAGTGGCGGTTCCGTCTCGTACTCTGAGAACACTTTCCTCAGCGCTTCTAACGTGCCCTTACCATCCAATTCCACTTCTCCGATAAAAAGGTGCTTGACGTCTTCCAGGGATTTCTCCGCGTTCCGCAGAATACGCCCTTGCTGACCGCCAGAACTGACAGACATATCCAACGTAACACCATTGCCTAAAAAGTCGACATGGCCAAATACCTCTGCAGACGTCGCCCGTCGCTCAGCAGATGGCTGACCGACTGTAAAAACCGTAAACTTCCCAGTTTCTTCAAAGGCTCCATCCAAAATGCAAAAGCAGCCCGGAGTAAACCAGGACCCGTCTTCGGGGATGGCTGTCGCAACGGATAAATCGAGAACAATTTCTCCTGAGGGATCCAGAAGGATGAGCAATCCAGAAGGGCTCACTCCCAGCATACCGAATAGCAGAAAACTTTGGCCCGAGCGACCGAGGAGATTAGAGATCGGGGTCAACCTGTTCACAGAAGAGCTGGAAGCTGTCGAGAATGTTGGAAGCTGAAAGGCTTCCGTTCGGAGAAGGCGCTGGTGTAGGAGGTTGTATCTCGTTCGGAATAATTGAGTCTTCGTCTGTGGAGGGGGCAATAATGATGGTTTTGGTGCTCTAATCTACAGATTAGACTCGCTGTTACCATACCATGAAATGAAGGGAGTTACTTCTCAAATTGCTTCTTGAGCGGATTATAAGCAAATTTGGGCTGCGAAAATGCATCGACAACCTTGAGGTATGCACAAGGCTCTACATCCTCTAGCTCGCTAGCCTGCGCCGTTGCTCCAATATCACCGATACCTCCACCGCCGTCGTATAACGCACTCGACGGCACCCCCGTTATATCAAAACTTGTCTCCCTACTCATTCCCACTGAATCACCACCGACCTCCAACCCCCTTATAACCCTTTTCAGTCCCTCTCCTCCGTCAACCAACACCCCATTAGCGCCCTCGTTGCGTCGCCATTGCCGGGCTACCTCGTCCAGCAGCTTTTCTCCTGCGCCACTATCCCTCCACTCGGCACCGCATCGTCGTCCGACAAAAGAACACAGCAGTGCTAGCGCATCGGACTTGAGTGTCAAGTTGTGCTTCTTTGTGAAAACTCTGAACGCAACCGGCCGGAGCACATTTAGGGGGATCTCGACAGCTAGTATTCGAGGCGGTTGTGGTCGCGTGGATTGCGGGAGCGGCTCGTAAGGGTCAGATGTTTGCTGCGATGAGGGGTTTAGCGTGGCCCAGGGTAATTTAGGCCTGAAAAAGGTGGGGACTTTTGATTTTCCTTTATCGAGTGGCATTTCTAGATGTGCTTTTGCGAGTTGGAGATGGGGAGACGCGCCTCGCGTTAATGATCTGCAGCGCGCAGCCTGGGCGTGCAAGCTGTTACCCGGGACTCATAATTTGTCACTCGGTAAACCCGAATTTAATCTTTGGCCCCGCATCTCCACATTCTCGATCTACTGACCAATCACATGCCCTCAACCCAAGGCAACACAGATAATTCGATGTGATACTGTACTTTTTTGGCTGAGAGCCAATCCAAGGCGAAGCAGCCCTCATGTGTTGACTAGAGTGTGGCACACCTTTTTTATTGTGGCTACCTCGTGGATGTTGGGCGGAGTGAAAAACACTGCCCCCAATGAGAGTCCCGGAAAACAGCTGGATACTGAGCACCTGAATGGCTTCTCTGGTCTGAGATACCGTATGGCTGAGGTTTTGGTTGGATGCAGCAACATTCGGTTGCATGATCGTGGAGGTACCGTACCCGTGCATGGCGGAAAAGGCCGGAAAAAAAGATCGGCATGACGCTGTAGGGTGTGGTTGGCGGACGGTCAAGAAGAGAGGAAAAAAGAAACAAGGGCCTGTACAAGTAGACACGGACAACCCGTAGTGGGTACTGGGCATATTCCTTTTACTGATAACACCATAGGGAGACAGCACAAGGTAAGAATTATGAAATTGGGCTCGGCACAGATCAGTCCCGTAGCGGTTTAGCCTGAGATGTTCTTCTGAATCTTCGGTTTGCACTCCTAGAGAAAGTTAAATACCAATGCAACTTGTATCGGTTTCTACCTTCTACAACACGGTCTTTGTTTCTTTCCACGAAGATCATCGATCGACCAACATAATCCCCACCCCGTCACAACAAGTTTTCCGACCTTTTCCGCCATGCACGAGGACAGTACTCGTACAAGACAAAGGTAGGACCCATCAACCGGAATAGACAGCGATATATTTCGCTAGCGAATCTCAAATAACCGCTATGCAACTTGCGGTATCAAGCGTGGGGTGGTCAGTTATCATAACTTAACAAAATTATGTACGCTGTCTTGATACTTGTGCAAAGCCGACCTGAACTATCAACGCTTCTCGCCCTATAATAGACCTAGTGGAGGTAATTTTTTCTCCCCTCTCCGCTCTTTACAAATCCTACTGCAAGCACTTTGTGGGAAAAACAAAGGACAGAAGCGGGCTAAAATAGTTTATCGGAACTCGTGAATTTGGTCCAAGTGGGCAAACTGCTTTCCCCCCGTCATCTGCAATCTGCTTGTGACTTACGGTGGATGGTTGGGGCTTTGAATTTAGTGATGACAGCTCACTTCCCTGTTTTCTTTCAAGCGCATTTTCCTGAAAGAATATGCACAGACAGACCTTTACCTTCGGTGACTGATTTGGTACGATAGCATGACCTGTTGCCATAAGGTAAAAAGAACTCGAATGAAAGAATAAGATGTGGGTTTCAACGTCATGTTTCCCTCTCCTTGCGTGCTTCTGCTGCTGCTGCTGCTGAGGAAGAACTGCCGGGGTCACATTCGATTGATCGATTGAGCCACCACACTGAATGGAACATTCTGTGGTTCCTAGTGTGTGTCAGTATCGGGGTGTGGAGTGGGGTGGGGTGGGAGCCTGCGCTTTACCCATGTCTTTGTTCGCAAGAAGAGCGCTGCGATTTGAGGCTGAGAGATCATGTTCATGGTTATCAAGTGTTAGCATCGTGATTGCTCCGGCCGGGTTTGGCCGGGCTGCTATCATACTCGTAAATTTCTGACGTGCGTGAACACGACTGATACTGCTTACTGCCAAAATCTGGCCGACTTTCCTGCGTCATATGCAACTGTGTCGGAAAATTGCGAGTACGGTACTACGGTGCTGGTGGCTCCCTTCGTGGTTTTGGCTAGGAAGATTGCCTGCGTGAGCTTTTGTGTAAACGGGGAGGATATGCCTACACTGCCCTAGGGGACTGAATGGAATAAGTGAATTGATCGGTTTAGAATAGACTAAGCATTCTGCAGACACAATCGGGAAGCTGGACCGTATTATGTCATAGGAGATTTGGGGCTCTGAGGGCTTTGTCGGCCTAACCGTACATCGACAGATTTTGGGCTAACGTGACTCTTCAATTCGGGGCCTGGCGGCAACAGAAAATGCCTTTAAGTTTCTACTCGAGTACCGGTAGGCTGCGATCATTCCTGGGCTTTCCCCAGCTGTTATGCTGGTAGCGAGCAGTGCGAATGAGTAAAAACCCATCATTCAGGTTATGTACGATATCTTCTCCAGGGGAGGCGGTGCTGCCCACTGCCTCTCGTGCTCGGCACCCATCAAGTGTGATGTAATACCGAGACTACCGTCAACGGGATCTCACCCTGGGCTGTCTTGATACCCTAGTAGTCGTATTCTTGGGTTATGCGGGAAAAGATTATTGAATCAAAGCAAGGCCTTTTACTCATGGCACCGCTTGGGTAAAAGGGTAAACCCGGATTATCTTACCGTTCATCGATTTCACACTGGCCAGTCAGTTTCCGGCACTTTTGACCCTGCGAATGGGGATTGATGACGTTTTCCCAATTAAAACCTCGCCGTAATGAGTAATAATAAGACTACTCCTTACAGCAAAGACTCATTTCTAACCTTATAGGTTACTTTAGGAATACACTTTCCGATAACTCTCGCAGCCCCGCGCTTCCTCAAATCCTGTGCTACGACCTCGACATCTTTGTATGCCTCCACCGCCTCTTCCCAGACTAATTCCTTTTCGTCGCAAACGACATAGCCACTAGTAACAACTCTTCCCTTCCCACCGTTCCTCATCCCCATCGGCTTCATCTCTGTGAGTACTTTAACGTCGTTGTTGTATTTTCGTGACAATCCGCGGGCTTCGTTTCTTGACAGCATTCTACCAGCGCCGTGTGCAAGGGAAAGTCCGTTTTTGAACCCGTTTTGGTTAATTTCTGAGAAGAGTGGTTTGATAAGTAGGGTTGGGGTGCCGCGACTTCCGGGGAGTGGAAGGAAGGGTGCTCCTTGTGGTGCGGGCGCGGCACCTTTCCGATGGATGAACATGGGCTTCTGATATTGTGCTTCAGCGTGCGGGGGCCAGAGAGTTGGCGTCACGCTATTGTGCAGGATATCCAGGACCCTCCTTCCCTGTAGCCTGGTCTTTAGATGCGATGTGGTGTCCAGGTCTATGGTTTCCGGCAGTGCCCAGCGGCTCCCTTCTATGCATTCGAAGATTCGTAGAGCAATTAGGTCCCTTGACTTACTGGCCCAATTGCAGGCTTGTGTGTGGAGCTTCAAATATTCAGCCGTCTTCGGATCGCCATAGGCCAGCGAAATGGACTTGTCGTCTTTGGTGAACGTCTCCAGGATGTGTTTTCCAAAGCGTCTAGACCCAGAGTGGATTAAAAGTACCACAATCCCCGAGCACAATCCATTCCCCTCCTCCACGTGCTCCACAATCTGAAACTCGGCAAAGTGATTCCCGCCACCAATGGTTCCGACCAATTTGTCCCACTCATCGCCAGCAGCGCAGTCCCCGAGCCAGGCCGCCCTCTCCTGAGGGCTCCTCCATGCAGTTTCCAGGCCCCGCAGACTCTCAGCTACTCTTTTTATCCCGTTTTGGTCCTCCAGTCTTTTCCGGGTGAGGCCGGTCAGAAACAGAGTCATCCCGCACCCGATATCACTACCCACTAAGGATGGATAGATATAACGCTCCGAAACGAACGCCGCGCCAATTGGGAACTTCCCGCCAGGGTGTAAATCCGGCAATCCGACAGCGCGTACCATCCCGGGCAACTTGGCGGCGGCTTCCAACTGCGCGATGGCCTGCGGATCGATGTATGAATCTTCCGCTAACACATGCACCTCACACGCGCTATTCTCAGCGCGTGCCGGCGATGGGGGCGCTAGCGCACCGACGTATGGCTCGCCGGCCGAAACAAGAAAGGTTGGGCCCACCGTACGGCGCTCGTGGGATAAGTCAATGACATCTTGAACGGCTTGTGGTGTAAGGAGCTCTTCACCGCCCGGAAGGAATATTCTGGTGACTTTTACGCGGAATTTCGACTTGGCGCACGAGAGGACCTGGGCCCGAGGATTGATTGTTTGGGGTAATAAATAGGGCGCGCTAATGGATTGGTTCGAGTTTAATTTGAGAAGTATGCGCGTGGAGGGCATTTCGAACGGCGGTGTCGTTGTTGATTGTTGATATTTGATGAGTTCTGGGGTGATGGTGGGCGTTGAGATATTGGGGACTTTAGGGCTTTTTTGTGTGTTGTGTGGTGGGAAGGTGATCATCGTTACTGGGGGGGGAGGCAGCTATTTTATAGAGGTGTGCTCTAGTGAGAGCGATTACAAACCCTAAACTGAACCCCGCCCGAGTTCGGTACAGTATCCGGTTTTGTATTTTGAGTATCATACTTGCCCACCAATCACGCGGTGGGGACGCCTGGAGAGCATATTGTATTGTAAAGGCGCATCCTTTGCTCTCTCAGGGATATCTTGCAGCACAGAATTGTTTCTCAGCCGTTTTCGTTCTTGATGCCTTTCAGTGTGCCTCCAGAGTTTTAGTCTGAGCGTGACTCTATGCAAGGCTATGCACTGTTGGTTCCGCTCCAAAAGCTGTCATGATTTCTTGGCACTTGAACGAGACAGTTGCAGGCAGTCTGACACTGGTAACCGTGCCAAGGTTCCCGCCACTTTGAAGGACGCTAAGCGACCATCAAAGTTTGACGGCACTCCTACGGAGTGCCACACAGCTCAACGATCTACCCACTACATAATAAGAGGAAGTTTTAAAATACAACACCCAATATCACGGAACCAAAGTTTCTGAAGTCTTTGTTTCTGGTTTCTGTCCTTCACAGTCTTTTGGGCTTGTTTCGAAATCTCCTTCCACTGCTTTTTTGTTTTGTTTTCTGCCACTTTTGTAGTCGCATCTAATACCCGCTGTGCCTTTTTGAGCTGCTTTTTGATAGTTTCCTGTTTTTGAACGAGCGGTGGAATGGCGGTAGCAATAGCGGTAGCAATGGCGAATGAACAGGGATTGTGGCAATGGGCCAATTGGAAGCCAGCCGAGTGATGGGCTATGAAATGAAACGCCAAGCTTAAGCACGCAAAAAAGGATCGCACAGGGCAAAAAACAACTTTTCACTTTCACACTCTCCCGCTCCCTAACTATCACATACTCTTCTAACTAACGGCAAACATAAAAGAATATATCAACCACAGGTGATGTCCGACAAACCACAGTCTTCACTCACCCCCTCCCAAGTAAGTCCTCCGCTTCCCTCTCTCAAGCAAACATGCAAACTAACAAAAAAAGACAAACTTACGCCCTCCCCCTAGGTAAGCCCTCCATATCCTCTGAGCAAACAAGAGAAGCTAACAAAGAAAGAAAAACAAACTTGCACTTCCGCTGTGCGCCATTCTGCAGTGCTCTCCCACCGCACCTTTCCTGTACTCCTTCTCCCCGTGCATTCCTGCACTCTCTGTCACGCTCCGGCGCTCATCTGCGGGCCTCCACCACGCCCTTCTGGCACTCTTTCTGTGGTCCTCTGTCACGAACTGTGACTAAGCAAGGCAGATTTCACATAGCTCGGATTTCCGAGTTATAGGTATGTTGGGATTTCACATGACGCACACTAGTGCGCCATAGGTTATTATGTTTACCTGTTCATGACTCACAGTTGTGAGTCACACGATGTTATGATTTTTGCACATGACTCATACTTATGAGTCATGGGTTTCACTCAGGTGACGCGAGTTGCGCACCTAACTTGGTTATTATGTTTTGATTGGTTTAGGCATGTTGCGCAGCGACTCATAGGAGTCGTCTGATGGATTTCATATGACTCATGGTTGTGAGTCACAGGGTTCGCGTGACGTGAGGTGTGAGTCACGCCAGGTGAAGAGCGACTATATAAAGGGTCACTAGGACCCCGAGTATGAGCTCTTCACACGTTCTTCTTGTTTATTTCCTACCTTTAAGTTATTATCAATAAAACCTACCTTTATGCTCTTTAAGATTTATTTTAAGAAACCCGAGAAGAGTCTTTCCTCTCAAGCGAGAAAACTATTTCTCCTCCCACGTCGAACGACTAAGTCCTAATCGAGGACTAAGAAGGATAAGAAGATAGGCGTGAACACGATAGTAGTCAAAGGACTGGACTATCGGGATCGCGTAGGCTTAGGCCTGAGAGCTATCACCTTACAGAGAAGTATCGTTACCTGTCGCTAGGTCCTACCCGGTAGGATTCTTAACATCTTCTACCGCACACTCTTCCGATGCTCTTCCTGCAGTCCTCCACCATACTCCTTCCTGCGGTCTTCCTGCGGTCCTGTTTTCACCTTTCCTCCGCACTTTCCCATGCTCCAGCGCTCTACCGCTATTCTCTTTGTCGTACGGTCTGTCACGCCCCGCCATGCGCTCTCTCCTGTGCCCCAGCAGTGCGCTCTTCTAACAACAAACAAATAAACAAATGAGGTCTCTCTATCTCCAATAGCCTCTCTTCTCTGCTGGTGGCCTTCCTCCTGCACCTCTTGGTGCATTCCTGAAGTCTGGAGCGCTTTCCCAAAATCCAAGCATGCTCCTAAAAATACTAACAAAGAAAACTTACTTGCTGGCAAGCAGATAAACTATTGCGCAACCAAACAAGCAAGCAATGCGAGAAGGGAAGGAAAGCGGGGAACTGAGAGATAGGAAATGGGAATGGGAATGGAGAGAAAGGGGGAAAGAGTAGGAGGGTACTGGGCAGGTGTGGGGAGCAGCTTTGGACTTCTAACATCCTGCTCTTTTTGATATACTATTACCTGAGTCTGATATGCATACATAACTCCCTCCTTCTGAATTGATCTTTAGTTGTACTTTTGGTAAGTGGTATGAGCAAGTTCGGCTGCCTTTGTATTCCAGAGATCCTCCAAGGTGAGTACTCCACTATGTACCTAACTTAAGCCTCCTTTCACAAAGTGCTTAAGCTGCTAATGGGTCAAAGGAGACAGTTCTCCAAGCTCAAGCAATAACATATCAGCCTGTCTCTTCTGTGAATGGACAGTGGTTGGTGTAGATGGAGAGATTTGAGAACTATATGGCAGAGTGGTAGGATTGTAGACTTCATTATCTAGCTCATACTCAACCAGCTTTTCAAGCACAACATCAGGGTTGAACAGAATCAATCCTGTCTTCTGGAATACAGATTGGATAGTTGTAGGTTTAAAGGTATTGAAGTGAATTGACTCAATTGCGGTGAGAAACTTGATTTTGTCAAAATTTGAACATCCCGTCCACATAGCTGTATTGACAGCTTCCTTGTGATAATGTTTGTAAGATTGAAATACAACTACATCAAGTAGTTGCAGAAGGTAGGTACAGTGAGGAGGAAAACAAAAGAGTACGATCTTATAGTCATCATAAAATTGTATGAACTTGTAGGTGCAATGGAAGTTGTGGCCATCAAGAAGAAGAAGTTGCCAGACACCTAATTGTCGGCGTTATGAATAGCTTTCAAAATGGAATAGCCAATCCATTGCCTGTACATAATTGGAACTTGAATAGCCGGTCTCTGTCATGCCAATCAAGAAATCGTCAGGAATATTGGTTTGAAGATACCAATCTTCCATATGCATCGCGCCAGAGATGAAAACCATTGGGGGAAGCATACTACCAGCTCCGCTGACTACTTCTATCACAGTGAGAAAATCTCTATTGCTAGAGCTTGCAACATATAAGAGCCATGTTGCCTCTTGTGTCACTACCCATTGATCCCTCCCAATACCTATCCGGAACCCAGTTTCGTTGAAATTATAAGAATCTGTATCCAGGATTTCCTTCTCTTCCTTAATCTTACAATATCTCTCAAGCCATTCCTGAAGGTCCTCAGTACGATGAGCCCGTTTTCTCTCGATGTCAAGTATTTTTTGTTTCCTGATATAATATTCAGGATATTTTTCCAAAAAGCACCTTGTCTACATATTGCTAACAGTGGGTGGAGGTGATTCGGGATCATTATATGAACTTGAACAAGTTAGAACTTAATTTGCATATTTGCTGATAAGTCTATACCGCAGCAGAATTCCGATCTCATCCAACCAATTGAGGTACTGGCAAAGCCCTATCTCTTGGTTCTCTGTTAACTTACTATTCGGTGCTCATCTCTCTTGCCTTGATGGTTGACCATTCCATTGTGCTAAAAGATACTGTCTAGGTACAGTAAATTTGCGAGCGGCAGTGGCTATGTTGGGCTCTTCTTTAGTCTTTAGCGTATCAATTGCATGCTGGATTCTTGCTTCTACATCAGCATAGGATTCAGGAGGCATTTTTGAAAATATAGAGGAAAGAAAGGGTGCAATGAAGAGTTTTTCACAAGAAAACAGTGAAACAGGATCGTTGAGCTGTTAGGATTGTTGAGCTGTGTGGCAATCCATACGAGTGCCGTCAAACTTTAATGGTTGTTTAGCATCCTTCAAAGTAGTGGGAACCTTGGTACGGTTACGGGTATTCAAAGTTGAAAAGGTTGGACAAGTGTTAGCTTACCTTGATGTTTCATGCAAGCTTGGCACATACAGAAATGGTTAACTTACCATTTCTTTACCTTACAGTATTAACTTGAGTAAGAGAGAATTGTCTTAGGAGGTCTATATTTCCCTTCTAAGTAAGGCGTTGTTTTGTTTTGCTGGCATTTTCTCCCGTCCCCCCAAAAGAGGAAACTCAGACGTCCTGAGCCTTTCCTTTTTCAAGTTAATACAGTACTTTACCTTACTCAATGATACTTTTCTTATGAAGGTCCGGAGGTCCGTACGAGTGCGGCCGACAAACATATCTGTCACGTGCCTTATCTAAGGACAAATCGCAGCCAAAAGGTGCACCGAAACTTTCTTGTCAGACTCACGTGGCGAATATATCTATCGGCCGCACTCGTAACTTGGGTAAAACACCATGTAACCAAACTTTACTACCAGTACTCGAGTAGAACACAGAAATGATGCATAAAGCCAGAGGGATATTTTAAAAAATAAAAATAAAATCCTAAAATATAGTAGCGTGCCTTAAGAACAATTATCTACTTTTTTCCAGCAAAAATCCCTTAACCTTGATTTTTTGTTAACATGAAAGAAATTTTCACAGTATTGGTAGAATCCCTATTAGCTTCAATGCTTTGACTTCACTTACCATGGTGCACTCAAATATGCTACCCAAAATGCATGAATACTATTGGCTAACACCATAAAGTAACCTAATGCAACTTCCTGTGTTTGCTCGTTGCTGGAAGTACCTCCTTTTAACCTTGAATACCCCTACTACCGTACTCGTACAGGACTGGCAACGCACGGTAAATCACGGTAAATCACACTGGGGGGATGAAATGCTGGAAAACTGCATTCCCTACCTTAAAATTTAACGCCGAGTAATACCGTTTTCCTTGCTATATGTTTACGTCAGAAATTCCTTGCAAAGACGTGTGAATGCCAACGCCCAGGCTTTCTCGTGACGGCAAGCTCACGGCGCCTGGTTTACCGTACGTTGCGTATCGTATCGAATGGTATCATGCCTCACCGTAAACTTACCGTTCGAACATTACCAGCACCGGGTGATAGAATTAATGATTACTTAAGTATGATACCGGTAGAATAATCCGGGTAACTATCAAGCAGGATGCTGTCGAATCGTTAACTCAAAGCACGGTAACCGTATCTAGACAGAGAAATGCCAAGAAATTGCGTTTTGCATCCAAATTCGATGAGCTTGGCGTGTCTATTTCTGAAAACTTTAGGAATTGGCGAGTACATTAGGTTATCGCGAGGGGAGCGCGTTCACCCCGTTGTTTAGTTCTTGGCAAACACCCACATATCATACACCCCATGAATTCACCTCGTCTCATGCCTCCTCTACACGGTTAAACGAGCACAACTTCCCCCGATAATGTCTACAGTGGATGGTAATCGAGCGAAACAACTCCGCGCGGAGCTGAAGGAGTGGGAACATTCTTTTGCTGCGGAACATGGGCGAAAGCCTTCCCGTGAGGAAGTTAAGAGGGATCCCCATATTTCGGCAAAGTACAAAGAATACAGCAAACTGCGTACCGCCGCCTCTCGTCCCACAGCCTCAAATTCCGGGACGAAACCAGAACATACTCCTTCCACTACAAAGGGGATCCACGACCCCTTCGTAGGCGCAAAGTCAGACAGATCTAGGGCGAGCACTCGCAAAAAAGCGGCGGACTTATTCAAGACCCCTACGAAACCACAGCTAACCTCGGCGGATCAGCAAGAGGTTTACGATTCTCCATTGTCTTTAAGACGTACACGCTTGTTTGGAAATCGGCCTAGGGATAGTGTTGGTCCCACACCACAGAAAACTGGAAAGGTGCTCGGGTTGTTCGAGAGCTTTGTTGACATCGAGGCTACGCCTAGAAAGGCAAAGTATAGAGTTTCCGCCAGTCCGGTTTCAGCTCGAAGGGCCGGCGATGGAGGGGCAAATGAAGGAGGGGAGTTTGCTACTCCCCGAAAACGCAAGGCGGAAGAGATATCGGTGGGCAGCGCAAAGAAGCGTGAGGAAGAGGAGTTCACCACGCCGTCATTCCTACGAAGAGATAGCTCGAGGCTTCAACCACCTGTGGAGAGCCCTCCTGTCCCGCTGCCTATGCGGCCTGTCAGAGGACTGAGCAGCATGGTGGCGGAACTCCGCAAAATGGAGGATGAAGCGTTAGAAGAGGAGTTCGCCGATGACGAGGAAGCGATGAAGGAGATGGAGGCGCTAGATAGCGAGCCATCTCTACCACCCCCTAAGAAGCAACGGGATGAGGGAATGGAGGTTGGCATAGGCGATTTACCGCCTGGAGCTTTTGCGGAGGAGGCAATTGTAGCCGAAAATGAGGGGGAGGGTAAGGATAGGCCGAAATGGAAAAAGAAGGGTCTCAAGAGGCAGACTAAACGAACCATCAGTAACCATACCTCCCCAAGTACAAATCTTTTGGCTTGTAAATTGACAAACATAGTGCGCCCAATCACAGCAGGGCTACGAGATGTGCCGCAGGAAGAAGATGCTCTCCCCAACCCGGCCGATGCAGAACTCCCGTCCGCGGGCTACGACGACGACGAAGACTTATCGAATATTGAAAGCGAAGATGAGCACACTAGCAAGAAGGCCGTGGTTGATAAAGGCAAAGCCGTTGTCAAGAAGGTTGTACGAAGGGTCAAAGCTACGGCTAATGCAAACTTCCGAAGGCTCAATATCAGAGGCCAAGGCACAAAGGCGAGAGGCGGAGGGAAGTTTCGGAAACGTAGGTAATGGGTTTGCTTTCACGCTTTGTTTATGAGCCAAGGCACCAGCAATGTTTCAAATGTTAATGGATATAATGTTCCATCATCCATGAACCTTGCACTGTTTAGAGCGATAGCAAGCCATTAATGGTTCAATGTGAATATAAAATGCTCGGATAGATATAGAGAACTTAATAGAATATAGATGAGCTGTGAGTAGTTGGGTCTAGTGGGATTGTATTTATTTAGGCGTTTCCTACCCCGTCATGCCGGGTGGCCCTTAAATTTAGAACACTGATTTGCAATTCCAGGGGTGATAAACTATGAAGCTGTTTGAGTATGACACCACACATGCATTGGCTGACAACAAGCCTTCGCATCTTATATCAATCTCGTCTTTGTTCCCTTGATTAAATTAATTCCACAATACCGATAGGCCTATACTGGGCATCCCGCTGGTCTAGCGTTTGTTACTATTTCTGAGTTCTATACCGTAAAATCTCGTGAAATCCACTATCTCCGTTGCGTGGTGGCGGTAGGCTAGCAGGGGTTAAGCGAGGTTATACCACGGAGTGAGTGAAGAGCCATGATCCTGAGACAGTGTCTCAGTACGAGTCAATATAAAACCTTTGGCTGTTTAGTAAACTGTTAGCTGTAAACTCTACTCGTATTATGAGCCTGGCAGAAGGATATCGCAACAATGAGTCTTCTGTAAATGCGAATCGTGAGTTTCAAACCATGAGGATGACTAGAAAGCAAGAGTTACTGGTACTATAATATGGGAAATAGAGAGGCAAATGGCAATGTATCTAGTCAATATACACAGCTTTAGTCTACGAATTCGTTCTTTTTACCTAGATTTTATTGAAAGCAAATGTCTTCCCAATCACAGCCGTCAATCAAAGTCTGTCGAGGCCCCAAACCTAAGCCAATTAGTCAAAGAATACTGCGCCAAAAAGACCTAAAGCCCATACGATTTCCCGAACGTACCTATAGCCAGCACCAGAAAGTCAGAGTTCTGCTCTTTCTGGAGCATTATAAAATTCCAATCCAAAACTCACCAAATAAGCAACCCCCAACTCAGCAGGAAGCGGCCGACCTCTATCATATCCTACAGTGTACGATTAGCGACTGGGTATGAAATAAGAAATTAATTAAACGAGTGGGTATTAACTTACTTGCGGGGATGCGGGAGCAGGGAGGGCTAAGCTACTGCTGGTGGCCGGAGCTGGAGGAGAGTCTTTATAAAGACTTTATAGAGTGGAGGGAGCAAGGGAGAATTGTACGGAGAGGGTAGTTTAGAGTACAAGAAGGGATTTTGATTTCGGGAGCTCTATCCCAGAGTGAATCCTGCTGTATTTGGATTTAGTGATGGATGGTTATCGTGGTTTCCTAGCACGACATAAAATTAGCCTTCGCAGTATAATGAAAAAAGCTCAAAAAGTTCTAGCAGAATATCAATCACTTGTCATCAATTGGTTACGCTTCAACCGCCGGAATTGGTAGCCCCGGAGTGAGTTTTTTTTTGACATCACTTTATATCATTTGGTCGGCCGCTTCGATCTTTTGAACATCTGTAATCTCGATGAGACCCCTATCCCATTCGAGTATTTAGATGGTAAAACTTATAGTTTGACTGGTGAGAAGACAATTTGGGCCAAGTCTTCTCAGAGCAGATGGGACAAGAGACAAGCATCACTTGTACTTTGCGTCTTTGCCGACGGAGTTCCTAGGGTACCCCCTATGGTGATATTTTAGGGAAAGGGAGCCAGGTTGGGCAATGAGCAAGAGTTTTATCACCAAGGAATTGAAGTCATTTTTAATGACAAAGCTTATATGAATGATACAGTTTTTTTAAACTACATTGAAGAGTTTTTAGTTCCTGTGCTTGGAGGAAAACCAAGTCTCTTATCGCTTGATCTCATGGGATCACATAAAACTCCTGCTGTTCTTGAAAAATTAAAATCCCATCATATTCTTCCCTCCTTAATCCCCGGAGGGTGTACCAGCCTTGTGCAGCCACTAGATGTGGCAATCAATAAACCTTTCAAGGAAATCTTGCACGAGCTTACAGATGAGGCAATTTTCTCAGCTGAAAGTGCAGAAACCTTTTACAAATGGAGTATATGCGATCGCCGTATCCTAACAACTACATGTGTGGGGGATGCATACTACCGCTTTCATCTTGAGAAAGCTGATATCATCCGACGAGTCTTTCGCAAAGTAGGACTCTCACTCCCTATTGATGGGAGCTATGACTCGGAACTTGATATCAAAGGGTTCTTTGGAATAGAGATTGGAAACTGGGCACAGGATTTAGGAGGCCTTGATGAGGAGGCTGAGATCCCAGAAACCTGGGACAATGATGAGAGTATTGACTTTATTGAGAGTGCGGAGTGATTTTGGCCTTTTTTTTCTTCTTTTTTTCTTTACTCTATATACACGATATACTTCTTGAATGTTGAATTGCCTATTATATATGTAGTTTTGTGGTTGTGCGGATATAGTAACAGGGAGATGGATTGGCTGGTAAGTAGGAATATTGTGTGTATATATGGCTACAAGAGAGGCAGCATTTCTAAATATTGGAATATTATGAATGGCATAGAAATAGACGACAGAAAGAGGATCAAAATGGTACTTATCCACTTCACTCGCACTCTCCAAGTTCTCCTCTGCTGTCATTGAAATTTGAGACATTTCTCATTTGTCACTGTTGATCACTCACCCTATTAGGAAAGCCAAGACCTCACTTATAGATGTCGCAATTGAACCAGGGCTTACGGAGATAGTGGATTTCACGAGATTTTGCGGTATTGCAACATCCCTTCCTCAAGCGCCAATTCCCTGAAAGTAACTTGTTCACAGACCTGGAGAGCTCCGACACAGCTTCGTGCAGTGGTGCTTAAGCGTTCCAGGTTGAAACAGCATAACATATAAATTCGTAATCTTTTGGTAATATCAGTGAAGAAGGACAATTGAGCACATTCCCCCTCCGGTTGGTAGTAGGGGACGTAGTGCCCTTCCCTATGAGACTTGTAGACATTCAAGTCAAAAATTAGTATCGAATGATAATTATCTTTATTTGCCTATATAATTCTAAAGAGGCATCAGCGTGTTGCGGTGTTTAATCTTTTTGCCCCCCCCCCCCCCAACTGATTGTCCCGGTGCTATTGTTGGTCTGAGTCTTGGGTTTTATTTTTATGATAATCGGAATGCTTAACTATACTCGATTTACTCAGGGGGGTCCCATATCTGTCTGTCGAAATCAGGTGATGCTTGCACTCGAGGTCAATTACCTACGGAGCTGTATCCACTTCAAATGCTGTATCAACAAAAGGCGAACCAGATATATCCCAGTACTGGTACTGGCAGATGTTCTAGTTCAGCTTTTGTTGGCTGGGTATAACCCTAGAGTACATCGATTCTCTCCGGGAGCCTTTCCTGGAGGGTTTGCAAGGTATTAGACGACGCGAGCTGGGCTATCATAGTTACCGTAAAAACTCGTTACATCCACTACCTCCCAAAAGTCCCAAGCTCCGCGTTAGGAGATGAAACTCCCCGAGAGGGCATAGCCTTTTCTAGACTCGGTACATCTTTGCAAAGCTGAACTTGCTGGATCCCACTTGCTGGTGTTCTATCAGGTTAACTTACTCTGCTTCGCCTATCGTGGTTTTCTTGGCGCGGTGATGGATCCAAAGAGTTGTTACTGTACAACCATATCTGACATTAAGCCCCGGCGCGAGTGGGGTTATTTATGTTCTTCGATTTAGGCTGTTTGATCTGGAACGGTCAAGGAGGAGGGATCGGTATTCAGAAAGGAGAGAACAGTTGATTAAGAGAGATCAAGAAAAGAAGGGTGAACCAGGATAAGGATAAGTAGAAGGAAAACAATGACTGTGAATTCCCCTATGATACAAGCACCACAGGTACATACTGACATGTATTCGCAATCCATACCGTCCACATTCAACCCTGGATAGAACCAACCCATGCAGTGGGAAAGTCCAGTTATTTAGTCCATCACATCCGCACACTCCCTACCCTATTCTTGAATACTCTCTAACACTTCCTAACGCCTATGATCCTCCGGAGAGTGGGCTTCAGCTAGGTACACAGCTCCCAGCCGGGGCGTAGCAGGGGTATGTTCGTTCCTAACTTTTTCCGTATTCTGGGCATGAGTCTAGGAATCCCATAAGTTGATGAGAGGGGTTTGATATCCGAGGAGCCTTCATTAAGCTTTTTGTTGGTGGATTGAAGGGTTTCTGACCATCCCGCCCAGTGCTGCCAGAGTGAACCTCATCAACCCTTGGGCCAAATGCTGACCAGCTCTTGGGACAGGGCATCAAGATTCTATTAAGAAATGCCAGAATGGAGAGATAAAATATTATTTAAATGTCGTCCCCATTCCCGAGCTTTCTCCGCTTGGACCTTGATTATCCCTTCAGATAAGAGAGTGATCCCACTTGAGTCAGACCCAATGCCAACCCTAGGGGCAGCGCAAGCGGCACTTTTTCCCCTTGGATCAATTTTACATATTGGTATAAATGAGGCTGAATTTGAGAGCTGACTAGTGAATTTTGATTAGACACCTCCGCTTTGAAGCTAGCCCGCACGGGCTCCCATACTTTTTATCTTCATAACTAACCCAGAGTCACTGATGATCACTCGTCAGGTCCCAAAGAATGAATGTTGGGAAAAACAGTTGATGGCGGCACTTGGTGCGGGATGTGCTCATACATGGAGGCTTCACTAGTATATGTATGCACTACTGAAGGACACTTAAGTTATGAAAATTTTCTGATCCCTGTCTTTTCTTCCTTCTGTTTTCTCTCTCATGAGACAACCGCTTCCTGTACTTTACCTTTCTCTTCAAGTTCTTCCTTTATATCGTCTTATGACAATCAATCATGGTTTTCATCTTCATCTAAGTCAAACTCACGTCTTCACTCGAGCCATTCCGCTCCACTGCGTAAACCCTCACCGTCGATCGTTACCTCCGTAACAATCATTTTTCAACAATGAAAGTAGAACTAGTTAACTCTTCGAGGTAAGAGGGGAGATAAAGCATCATTTAAGAGTATATAGAGCACTTGAAGTATGTGTAATGGGGGTAGAGGTGTCAGAACAGCATAATGTCCAAACACTGCTTAGTACTGGTATGTGAATCCATGGTAAATATAGATAGTCGTATCATATGATAATGCCCACTTTA